AAAACTGTGGAGCAATTCATTGGATACAAGCAATTAGTCTCTCTCTCTCTCTCCTTTGTCGACAATTAAATTAGTGTTTTGTTTGTCTGCTACTAATGTATGCCATTTGACAACTCATTCATCAGAAAAACAGTCCAGTAATTAATTTGTAGATTCATTTCTTAAGAAACTTAACATTTTATTAAAAAGTGTGGACTTATTATGAGAGATGCGTTCGTCTATTAATATAATAGACAATCGATTTTACGTCAGTTTTGCTATTATTGGATAAATTCTTGTTTTCCTCAAACAAAAGGATTTTTCTCTAATTCAACACAAAACAGATAACGTCTGAATAAACTGCACGACTGATCGTTACATACGCTCAATATTATTATCTATAATAAGGATTCCTTAATGTTATGCATTCAATACTTGTAATTACTATTTGTTTAGATCTACAGTAGTGTATATTGACTTATTGTATAACAAATGGTGCAGGCACAATTACTCTCTTGCATTTAAGGACTGTATATAATTGTCTATTATATAAACTAATGACTTCATGTTATCTCTCTATTTTGTTTTCCGATACATAATATATATATAATTATATATAAGATGCACTATTATATCAATGAATAAATTCTTATCCATATTCTTGTCCAGAATCTAGTGTCCAAAAACAATATTATTACAGTATTTAAAATGTGAAATATTCTTTGTAAGAATGTATTTACTAAATATGTCAGTAACTGACAGTTGTGTCCTAATTGTGACACTTTTAACGTTATAATAATCGGATACAAAAGCAATTTCTTAAATTGTAGCAAAATTTTCGCATTAAATTAATGTAATCTTCAGCTAAAAATCGTTAACTAAAGAATTTCCAATTTCTCACTCAAATTCTTATGATCTTTCTTAAAGTTGTTTACAGATATGACAACAAAATGTTGGCAATATATTTGGGTCAATCTATACATTGGATATATAATAATAATCATAAACAACAATATAAATGATAAGAAATTTTGAATTCAAGTTATTTAAAATTATTTGTTGCAAATAAAGTAATTTTTATATAGAATTAAGTCTCAAAAAATCCATACCAAAGTCGAGCCAAAAGATTAGTTCCGTCGACGTATTCACTCCAAAGACACGCTTCGCCTAACATTAGGGAGAGAGAGAGAGAGAGAGAGAGAGAGAGAGAGATGTAAGATAAACAAATATTTAACATCACATAAAAAGCATTTGCTTTAATCAATACCTCCTATAATTAAGTCCTTTTCTTCCCTCGTGCCTTAAATGAGACGAAATTAAATTATAAGTAAAACTGAAACCATAATTAGAGTTACAGTGATATACCAGTAAAATTATGAGGATCGCAATTATAGTACTTTTTCCAGTCCTGTCCATAACTAATATAGTTAAGATACCAACACGATGACAATACCATTTTGTACTTTTTCTTGGCTATAGGCTTAATATATTCGCCCCAAGACTTATATATTGGTCCCAATTCTGTGTCTTTCCACAGCTGTACCACAGAATCGGATGACATCTGTCATTATGAAAGTGGGATTCATTAATAAGTGACTAAATTATATGTGATATATGGTATGTGTGTCACCTCTACGCCATTGTCGACCGGGTCCTGCCATGTCATGTATTTGTAGCCAATGTTTCTGACATTTTCTACGGTCCTCTTCACGTAATACTGTTCGAGTTGTGCTGTTGTAGTCATATTCAAGTCGTGCATAAATTTCTTTATCTCTGGATTTGATTCCCAGCACTCGTAGTAGACTTCATCCATGCCTTCAATTATATATTACAGTAAAGTAAATAAATGTGTGAATGAATTCTCAATAGAATTCTGGACTCAATAAAGCCTTAATAAACAATAGGAATTGTCAGTTAATACAGACCTAAATGAATGAATTCATCGGCGAATACACTCTTGACTTCAGCAAAAAATTGTTTGAAAAAATCATACGTAAAGTTTTGGATGGGATTCAGTATTTCATTTGCCGAGTGTTTTCCATAGACCGACACATTTGGCTCTCCATTAGAGTCATAACAAGTGGTTAATAACTCTGAAAAATATTTAATTTTATTTTAATCACTTTCAATATTTTTGAGCATTTATTCGTTTCATTAAACACTAATCATAAGCAAAAGACTTTTAGTACTCATTTGAATATATTTAATATTATATTTCTTTTCTTTTTGCTAAACTCTGTTTACTTTCTTTACTCTTAAATCATTCAAAGCTTTTCACTTCAAAATCAAATTCTATTACTGTTTAAGCAAATAACACACTATTTATATACATATTCTGTAGAATTTCTTTCAATTCTGTAATAAGAATACAGTTTTATAAATAAATTAAATCTTTTTGCAATCCCATTAGGACTCGCTTTAAAATTTAAATTAATGCAAATAAACTGCTAGTTATATAATATGTAAGCAAAAACTGTTTTTGAGACAAATTGTAATTCACAGGATCTGTTCAGTGATTAAACATAAGCTTTACTTTATATTAAAAGAGCATTTCGTGAAGACATACATAACGAAACTTGAAATCCTTTTCTAAGCCTTCTATTTCTGGTTAATTGATTGAAACGAGAAATAA